ATTAATACACTCTTATCTAAAGCAAAGATTACAGTTAAAAATATGGTCTGCATTAAAAATGTGATTTGCTGGACTATTCATTTTTATACATTACCTGGTTGCTATGTACCTTTATTTAACAGGTAGAGCATTCAAAATAAACCTAAAATCTTTGACCTTCTTTTCTAGTAACTTATATTCCAGGCCAAACTTGCTTTGCTTTGTTAAGCCTTAAAAATTTGGCCTTATTTTGTTAATATTCTGGAACCAGCAGTATTTAGCAAATGAATGGATGAAGTAGTACTGCTCCTCTTTAGGAAACCACAAGTGGCATAAAAGTAAACAAACAAGGATCTAGCTCTTGAAGAAGTTGCCTTAATATTTCATCACTTTTGCTTGCTGATTGCTGCTATACCTTCAACCACATTCTCAATTTCTGATCCTTCATATGGTTTCCAAACTCCTTATTTTCCCATTAAAATATTGAAATTGAACTATGCTATTACATCTATGTATGCCTCGTTTTGGCTAACTCTCTCCTTTGGCTGGCAACACAAACACGTTTTCCAGACTCCAAAGGTCCAATGTTAACCATCTTTACTTTTTAAAGCACAGTATAAGGAGCTGCATTGCATGTGCCACTGAAAATACTGGGGCTCAACAATTCATAAGCACAAAAGTTCTTGCCAGATTATACACACTTTGTGAATTGGGCAGGGTTTGCAGTAACATAAAAGAAGCTGCTTTTTTAGTATTTCTGCAAAATCAAAAGTACTCATACATTTGAAAATAAATGAATTTATATTTGAGAATATTTGTGAATGGCACAGTTTGGAGACAAGTCAGAGAAGCCCTTGTTTTTCAAACCGTCTGACTTTTTATAATGTGCAGTAGATGGGCTAGCCTTGTCATAAGCCTCAACTAGTGCTCTATACGATGGCATTCTCATTTGGACTTTGTCTTCCCTGTGAATAAAAGATGTGTTCATATTGTTCAAGACATGCAAGGGAATGACATACAGAAGGATAGATTTAGACAGAAGGCCTTACATAAATTAACATATGAGGCATCCTGTCTCCCCTATTTGTCACCTATCAGCCATTTAACGGGGTCCAGGGCAGGATTAGAAGGCTCCCGACATCTATCCCAGACATCAGAGTACACTCCTTGCAGCCTACCCCCGGGACACAGTTCACTTTTCTGAATAATCTCACTCTCCACCCATAAGTGAAGTGGAAGGTACCATAAGGGGACAATGGCCTATAAATACTTCAGTTTTACCCTTCTTCAGTAGGCACAGTCAAATTCTAGGTCTTTTACCTTTGGGGGCTGTCCCTTTGGCTTTTATCCTTACCGGATGCAAGTTGTGATGTACTAAACATTAAATGCAAAACAGTAGTTAATCCAACTGTGCTCCATGATGTTGTGAGGAAATCCAGCCCATCCAAGTTCCCCATAAAAGAAAAACACCAAGCTTCCAGCAACTCGACTTCTATGGGGAAAATTCCTTCCTGACCACAAAACAGACAGTTGGTTAGACCTAAAACATTCTAAAATACAGCAGTTATACTAAAACTACAGGGAGAAAGGGTGGAGAAGCTAACAAGAGCAAGAGGCTCCAAAATGTGTGGGCACAGGCTTACATCAATGGTGGGGGCAGGAGGGAGACAAAGGGATGGACAATGGAAGTTGGAGAGTTTCCGGGAAATGTAACCATCACCTCCTTCTTCCAGGATTGTCTACCACTCTGCAGGTTCAATTAATTTTTACACCCAATGAGATGGGTGTGTGACAGATTGAGTTGGCTAATTTGAGTTAAGTAATAAGGTCCCCCATACCGCATGAAATTTACAAACTCTCTTGTCTTCACTAGGATTTTACTTAAAGTTAGCTTACTACTTGATATAAAAACACACAATTTTTTTCATAGTGAAGACAGGGTATGGGTAATGTTAGCAATACAGGCTTTGTGTTACTTCCAGGGCAATTCTAAAGTGTTGTCTTTTGTCTCTAAGCCAACATTCCTGGCTACCTGATCACTTCTTTCCAAACATGATATCATAGTTAAGGCCAGTTGTAATGATTTAACAATCCTTAAATTTTAAACAACATAGGGAAGATGGCTGAGATAGAGTAGGAGTTTTAATGATAGAGTTAATCAATTTATATATGATAATATTGAAAATTAATAATATTTGCTTTCAGTCTAAAATACTTTGTTTAAAACTTTGACTAGAATAGCTGCAGTACAATCCTCATAATTTTTCTAACTCCCAGGTATACTTGCATATGAAATTAAATCAAAATAAGGCACTCAAACAAATGTCATAGCAATATAGTTACATTATAAAAATGTAAAAGCATATTTTTAGCAAATTACATAAAGAATTCACTGCTTAGAGAGAGGATTTCATAGAAATATGTTTAAAATATAATATTGTGTATAATATACAGGCTCAGAATTCTGCTACAGAATAGTGTCAGAATTTCCACTAAAGAGAATCTGAACATATGGTGGTGATAAATTTTCTAGGGAAATTGTCCTTTTCTCAGCAAATATAGCTTGTATGTAATAAGCAAGGACAAATCAAACTTAGCATTTTAAGCATTGTATTGTACTTTGAGTTTTTAGAGAAAGTTTAGAGGTAAGTTTTACTCACAACAACATACTAATTATTTGACATTTGTTAATTAGTACTTGCAGCTGTACCAGATGTTGCTGAGATCTTTAAGTGAAGTAATTTTATTTTTAAAATAAAGTAAAAATGTGCATGCTTTATTTCAATTATTGTATTTTTTTTAAATGCAGTAAAATGAAGGCTGGATTGAAGGTTTGAGGGTAAGGAGAGGCAGAGGGTAGGTGGCTTAGGGCAGAGGGTTGGGTGGTGTGGGGGGGCCTCAGGGCAGGGGGAAGGAGGTAGGGACATGAAAGTCAAAGCTGGCTAGAGGTTCCAGACTCAAGACAGGGGGCTTGGAAGGTGATCGGGGAGCTTACCGGGGCCACCCATGGCGATGAGGGTGGCAGTGCTCTGGCGGGGACTCCTCCCAGGGAACTGTGACAGCTCTTCCTGACCCAGAGGCTCCTCTGAAGGGGACAGGGCTGCACTCCCTGGAGGGCGGCTCCTCCTGGGAGGCAAGGAATCTGGGTCTGTGCACTTGTCAGGTGGGGGTTGGGACTCTGCCCCCTCCCCCAGCCTGCAGCTGCTCAAGGGGAATCTTACTTGAGGCAGTGGTCTCCCATCCTACAACCTGTTGCAGCACTCTGCATGCTGCCTTTGGCCTCCAGCTGCCTCCCCACTCCACCCTGCAAATGGTCTGGAGGCTGGTGCTTCGGGAGCTACCTTTGGCCTCCAGTGGCTCCCTCCATCTTGCATTCTGTTTAGGCAAACACTCTTAAGAGCTGTCCCCAGCCTCCAGCGGCCTTCCCACTATGGCCTGCAGGTTGTCAGGAAGGAGAGAGATTTGGGGGCTGTCCCCTCCTCCAGCAGCCCCCCAGAAGCCTGTCAGGATGCATAAGTGCTGATTTAACAGCTCTTTTTGTTCTTTGTGACTAGGAAAGGTCTGTTTTCATATTCTAACTGTTGTCCTACCCCTTCTCCCCCACAGCACCCTGGGGATCTCTGATCCTGGAGTTCTGGTTTATAGAGGTGCAACCTGTATCATCTTCTTGCACTGGTTCCATTTGACACGTTTTCTGTTTTTACCCAGGGAAGGAATTTCCTCAAAATATTCCCAGATAGTGAGTCTCTTACGCCCAGAAGCCATGATAGATTTTCTGTGGCAGAAGTGTGGGAAAATATAGAAAGCTCTGTGTGTGCTGAATATTGCCTTCCCTTTTTCTTTCCAGTCCACTCCTCTGTTTCTTTCTATGCTGGCCCCGTCCTTTCCTATATATTGTGTATCTATCTTTAGACAATGTCTTAAGTAACTCTTCTGCCTTGCTTGGCCCAGGTGCATCACTATCTAAACACAGAACAAAACCAGTCCTGTTCAGCTTGTGGCTATCTTTGCATGTGTAACTTTTTAATCTGCTGAAAAATAGAAATAGAAAGCTCAGAACTTTCAAAAAGTAAGAGCTACTAGGCTGGACAGACTAGAGCCATTAATTCATTTTTATGAGACGGTAAGTGTATATGTAGCATGTTTGTGATGAGATGTAATTCTAACTAATTTTTAAATGAGAAATTTAGTATTTTATTCATTTTTTAGAAATCAAAAACCAATTTAAATTTAAAAAAATATTTTAAATTTAAAAATCCAATTTTATCCACACTGCTTTTTTTTACGCAACACATCAAGTGTATAATTGTTTTTCAGTTTTTAGCAGTGCATATGTCAAATCTAGAGGCTGATCCAGTACAAATAGTATAATCCCCTGTACACTTGGAGGAAATATTAAAGCCCAGAATTATATTGTCTTTGTGCTACTCTCAAATACATCATAAGGATATCTCTATACTGCAATAAAAGACCTAAGGCTGGCGCATGTGAGCAGTCTTGGGCAATGGGACTATCAGATTTCAGTACAGATATTCAGGTTTGGTCTTAGCTTTGGGACCTTCTCCCATCCCAAGGTCCCAGAACCCAGGCTCCAGCCGAAACCTGAATGTCTATGCTACAGTTTTATAGCTCTACAGTCAAGCTCCGTGAGCCTAAGTCAGCTGACATGAGCCAGCCACATATGTTTTATTGCAGTGTAGGCATGTCCTGAGTCCAAATACCACACCTATACAAATGGATGAGTTATTGCTAGAATCCTGAAAAGGACTGGAAAAATAACCTATCGTATAGAATAGAACAAGAGAGAGATTTCTGTCAGCTCAATAAAAACAACAAAAAATTGTATTAAATATTCATTACTTACCTTTCATGGAGTAATTGATTTTTATAAACAGGTGCCATTTCTATTTTTGGACTACAGTCTACATCTTTACAACAACTTGTAATTTTAAATTTTAAATGTTCCTTAGTCCAATTCATTTAAATTATGATAAGACTTACCAACTATCTTTTTTTTAAAGGGAGCGACTATTAAAAGGGATGAACATACTGGCACAATTGTGGTGGCTAGAATAATGCGAGGAGGAGCTGCAGACAGAAGTGGTAAGAGGTCTCTTTTGGCACTAATCATTCAAATTATTTAACCCAGAAAAGGGCAATGTGTATGTTTGACAGTAAGAGAAATGTATCCATGTTGTATACTAAGATAACTGGAAGTTGGGCCACCTTCCCAGGGTGGTATTTCATAGATGGTAATGGTATTTCCTGTTGAATGAATAGTAGAAGTGACTTAAGTGCTTTTGAGTTATTACGTTAAAAAAAGCACAATAAGCTTTATCAGTTATTAATTAATTGGCATATTTATGCTTAAAATAATGATTCAGGCACAGATTGGTTAACTTCAGATAAGAATTCAAGATGGTTAGAATAGATTTTCTTTGTAGATTTCTCATACTTTCTGGATGGCCCATAAATAGTCCAGTTGTAGCTGTGCTCTCTGTATTACATTTGTAATAAAATAAGAAGAGAAGTATGCAAAAATTGAAAAGTATCACTGCTTTTCAAAGGTCTGTGTTCTTAAAAAAAGTTGGGTTCCATTCTTATTTTCTACAAACTAATATACCTGTCTGTGTTACAGGCATTTAATGCAAATAGCAACTGTCTTCGCTCAGTGGCTCCCAAATTATGGGCATACCTTTGCTGTAGGAGTGCAGAGGAATGTTTGGAAGGGTATGCAGCAGAGTCAGGCCAGCCCCCACAGAGGTGGGGAGGGAATGCCACACTTCCAGCCTTGTTTCTGTCACAGCTTCACTTCTCCTCCAGCCCTTTTCAACACCCAGTTCTGATAGACCATTCTTCATGGGGAGGGAAGGAGCACCAGATTTCCAGTCCCCTGCCCTGTTCAGCTCCCCTGTCCTGCTCTGCTTCAAGGCAAGATCTACCTCCAGTCTCACTCTGGCTTCTCTCCACACTCTTCTCTGCCCCCAGATCAAGTGTGCCCCTAGCTTCAGTTCCTCTCCCCCCATCCACAGTTCCCTCCTTCAGTTCTACCTTTAACCCATGTTCTGCTGCTTAAAAGCGTAGACTGTGCAGAAATGTATGGAGAGATTCTGTCAATAGTAAAGGTGGGCATAACTGGAAAAAGTTTGCTCACTGCTATCTTAGGTAATGTCTTCAAAAAAGATCAGAAGTGGATGGGTTTAATGGTACATGGGGTTCAAATTTAGTTAACCATATTTTTTCATGTAGATATCCTGCATAAACTATTCCTGACCAAAGAAGATATTCAAGATGCATTAAAATTATATATAAATTATATGTTTACGGCATTTGAAATATTTCAAGGAAATACAATAACTTCAATGCAGAGAGAGAAGTATTTGTCAGTAATGAAGATGCATGGGCTTAAAGGCTCAGAAGAATTTAATGGGCATAGAATTGATCTTGAAACCTAATTAAAATACAGTTCTCCATTGCACTTTGATAGCATAGAAACATATTTAACTGCTTCACCTGAAGGTGAGAAATATCACTGGTATCATAGACTATAACACTTTCAGTTGCTGGATTGACTGCCTCACACCTGAAGTGGACAGAACAGTGTCCAGGCTTGCCAAAGAAAGGCAGCAGTGCTCTATGGTGGTGGGGAAAGGAGTCAAACTGCTGCAAAATGTGAGCCACTGCCAGTTTTGTGGGGCTGACTCACCCCCCAGGAAATATGAGAGCAGAAGGCTTTAAAGGTACAAGTCCTAGGTGTTGGAAATGCTTTCTCCATTCTGCAGGCCAGGCTGCAAGAAGGTGCTAGATAAAGGAATGGAATGGGGGACGCTCACCTTAGCCCTCCTACGAGGGGTTGGATGGTAAATTCCAAGCCATGTATTGGCCTGGAGGTACCTAGATGAAAAATGAAGGGTGGTGGAAGCCTCAGGTAGTTATTTGACTAAACATAGATTTGCCTGCACAGTACACTTATCTGCTGGGTAGTCCCAGACAGAACTGTGCCATCCATAGGATGATTTAGGGTGGCTGCCCCAGTCCCCATGCTTTGGAGGGCCTTGAGGTGGCCGCCTCAAACATCCTGTTGATGGGTCCCAGAGCAGCCTGGGAGATTACATGGAATGAGGGATCTGGCATGGGGAGGGCAGCAGGGATCACCCTTCACTCACTGTGGTGGCCGGATATGGAGCAAGCAGGCTGCCAGGTTGCTCCAGATCCCACCTCTGCGGTGAGTGGGGAGCACTCATCCAGCTCATGTTTCTTGGGAAAAGAGACTTCGGCAAAGAGTGGAACAGAGCATGGGTGGGATTTTGGAAGGGGTGGAACAGAGGCAGGAAAGGGGTGGAGCAGAGATGGAATGGAGTCTGTGGTTGGGAGTTGTCCTGGGCCCCATGCCTGGGATACTAGAGAGAGTTGACACAAGCCCCACACACCCAATAGAGTTGGTCCTGGTCCCAGACATCTCTCTAATACACTTGTGGCAGGAGCTGGTGCAGGACTTGGGAAGGAGTGGAGTGGAGATAGTAAGTGGATGGAGCAGAAGCTGGGTGCAGCCTGCAGCTGGGGGTTTGCTCTAGGTCCCATAGGGACTAGAAATGAAAAACATTAAATGATTAACCAGTAATCCAGTAAGCATTAACCTTACTGGCATTAACTGGAGGGCCCAGCTGGTGAGAGCACCCCCCTGCCCACGATGGCCCAGCCAGCAGGACTTTGGTCACCTGCAGATGCAGTGGGCCAGTGGAGCTGGAACAATCTCACTGCCTGCAGCTCTGGTGGAGCTGAGGCCGAAACATCCACCCACACCTGTGGCTGGTGGTTAACCAGTTAAAACAAAGTGTTTAAGAGTTTGTGATGGATGGGAGGGATAATGCCCTTTTCTAGACATCCCAGCAAATCGGTTAATTAAATTGCCTGTAAAGGGTTAAACCCAGATGCAGTGAGTATCGAGGAAACGTTGGCAAGGAACCAGGAGAGCCAATGGGAAGAATGAGTTTTTTTTAATAGAAAACAGCTTCTGCCTGTTTCAGTTCTTTGTGAAGTTCAAAGCAGGAGCTGGGAGAAAAATGAAGTAAATCTTGGGAGCCAGACAATATCCTTATCTAGGAAGGATGGAACGTTGGAACAATGGGCGTGAGTAGACAGGGAATGAGTAGCTAGACGTGATCAGGTTTTTTGGTTTTTTTATTTCTTGGTGGGATTTCTCTGTGGCAGTTTAATCCTCCTTCCCCATACACTGTTACTGAACCTGAATCCCAGGGAAGCAGTTCTCCGTGTTTTAACCTGTTTTCTTTTCAGTTGCTTTGTAATACCTAACAGCCAAGTATGCTTTACCAAATATATCTTCTTTGTTTTCTTAATAAAATCACCTTTTTAAGACTATTATCTGATTCCTATATCTTAAAAGTCAGGAGGCTATGTGTGCAGCTATTAAGAGATTAGTTTGTTTTCAAGCTCTCTTCTGAGGAAGGGAGAGTAAAAGAGCTTGGGTACTCCACAGGAGGAAATTCCCAAGTGCGTATTCCTGGCTTTTAAGGGATTTTTGTATTTGGGTGGTGGGAACATATGAATCAAAGTCAGGGAATCTATGATCTTGGGGAGTTTTTTTTGTTAAAGCAGAAGCCTTTAAAAGCAGTGTATTTTTAAGGTCTCTTGCCGGCCCCCTCCCTCTTCACTCAGTGCCAGAGTGGGGATCAACCTTGACACTGGTTAAATATTTTACGAGCCTTTTACTTCCCTAATAAGATGGCCCTGGTCCCAGACATCCATATATACATCTATATTTATAGTTGTGGCCTGGTTATATCTATCACAAGTGTCTCCTGTACTTCTTTTGGTACAGCCAGACAATCCTTTTTTCTCTGCACCACCATTGTTACTTTCCTTCTGCTTGTGTGAGGAAAGTGAATTTTACCTCCCACTTTCAGTCAGTAGTTTAGTGTAATGATTTCTGAACGATTTGAAAATGCTTGGAACTTTTAATATTTCTGCTAGAAATTTAATTTGGTAATTCTGAAAAAGTTGCTACATGATCAGTTTTGTAACATGTCATTGACTCTTATTAATTAGTTCATGATGCTCATTAACTTGCAGGATTGAGCCATAAATTAGAACTCTGCGGTAGGTATGTAAAATCCCATGTAATCAGTTAATATGTTAAAAGTTGCACTTAACCTGTTAACTGCTTAGATGGGATCCCACGGGCCCAGCCAGGTTGGATTATCATCCCACGTGTAGCATGGTGTGGGCTGGAAGATACTTCAACCCAGCTGGGCCCACCACACCACCCCCACCTACGGCATGGTAGACCTGGCCGCTCTTGAGCACACCCCCACCCATGGTGAGATGGACCCAACCAGGGTGGAGCAGCCCAGTCAGGCCACTGTTTCAGTGGTAACTGATAAGCATCCCCCGGTAATGTGATCCTTACGTTCCTACTCTGTGGGTGGCAAAAGGCAAGCAGTATAAGTTAGAAGAAATAAAGTATACAACTTTTCTGATGTCTGTATCTGACTGAGAATGTTGGAGATACACTGTTTACTTTGGAGGGAAGAGAAAGTTGACTAATCTACCAACTCTCTCAATATTATCCACAATGTTTTTGGCTATAGTAGTGTTCAGTACATATTCATACATATTCATCATTTGAGGAAGAGATACAAAGATCAATGCCTAGAGGAAAAACATAAAAAAGTATAGAAGCAATTAATGCTGATTGCTAACTGTGCACCTTTTCTATTAAACAGAAAAACACAAACATTCAACAACAACAAAAATAACTATTTCTCAATGCATAGGTCTTATTCACATTGGTGATGAACTTAGGGAAGTCAATGGGATTCCTGTAGATGATAAAAAACCTGAAGAAATAATACGAATTTTGGTAAGTAACAAATACATTTTAAAAACTGTTCAGAAAACAATTAGAAAAATTAATTAGTTTGCTGTTTCAGAAGAGCCTCTTTTTCAGAAGTCTGATAGTGCTTTTTTGCCTGGTACCATAATTTGCATCCCTTTGTCTTCCTTTTTATATTAATATTTCATTTATAAATGGTTAATAGGTGATGAATAGGTGTTATAGATAAGCATGTTACAGATCTAAGTTATAGGCATAGGTTTTGTAGGTAATTATGTGCACAGTTCTCAAGTGATACAGGTGGTTGTTGGACTATGGATATAAAAACTTTGATCTGCTGGACTCCTAAATTTATAACAGTTGATTGGCTATTTATTCTTAAAAGCTATTATTTGTATATTAATCTTTCATAAAGTATTTATTAATGAAACCTTGACATGAAGTATTACACATTGAGCATGAATTGTACTAATGCTGTTGTGCTTTCCCAGCTTATGCTCCTCTATGCTCTGCTATATAAATTTGTAAGTTTGGGAAAATATTGCACAGTTATTCACTTAATCTATTTTGAGAAATTATTACTATTTTTCCTGTGGAAGAATTAAATGTTTGAAAAAATGTATTACTAGATCTTTCTGTTCTTGAGGTAGTCTTTACTACACAAGTTTATGTGTGGTTGCCTCATTAAATAGACTGGCTGGCCTTACTCTCATATTAACTTAACTTAAAATGTCAACCTTCCCATATTCCATACCTGCTCGATAGTTTTGTGTTCCCTGTCAAAGTGTATTTTCCTGCAAAATTAATATATAAAAAAAAACAATCTCTGGAAATGCAATAGCAAAGGTGTGAACAGTTTCTCCATTTACCTTACTGAAGTGCAGTTTAAACATCAGAGGCTAGTTAGAGCCCTTTTCAATGGTAATGGTATTATTGTTTCCAATCCTGTTGCTGGTGAAATAAGAACTTGGCTGCTGTTTTGTCAAACAGTAAACTTTTGGATTGCAGATTTACAGGCAAAAGTATGTGTGTCTTAGTAGTGAACAGACCTGTTTCCATTTTGTTTAAATTGCTGGCAGTCTGTTCCATTGTGCTAGTTTTTATGGAATGTGTCGTCTATATGCAATAGTAGCAGCGTCTCCAACTAATTAGCACTTCCTTCAATAGCAAAATGTCAGTCAGGCAGTGGGACTATTTTGTGGTTTATAAGTAAAATGCAGCCAGACCCACATACTTTCAATAGGGCATAAGAAAAGAGGAGAGCATATGATGGTTGATCATTGTTAACTTGTTTGAAGACTTAATTTTTTTTCTCTCTAGAACACAGTTCAGTTTTTTTCCTTGTTCTGTTCTTTTAAACTTGCCAGAAGAATCAATTCCAAGAAAAATAGTTTTATGCTACAGTTGTGGCACAAACGTGTTTGAATGTTTCAGTCACTTATGTTAGTATTGGAGTATTCCAATTTTTGCCCTGAGCCTTGGGGTTGTACCCAAATGAACGTAAAACTGAAAAATTTGCCTTTGCCCTCATCTTTAAAACGGAACTATACGCTCTGAAATTGTAGGTCCCCCAGCTTCTAAGATTTCATCTTTACTTTGAGCTATGGTACACATTGCAAATGAAAATCTGTGATAGTCACAGTTTGCAGCTCCATATTGTAGCATTAAAAAACTCCATGGATCACGTATGAACTGCATTTTAACTATATCTGCATTAGATTTGTATCCCTTTTGTTTGTGTTTAGATTCACTTTATTGTTTAAACTTTGAAAAAGTAATTCTCAATTTGTTTTCTATTCAAAATATTAATCAGACTCAGTCTCAAGGAGCAATTACGTTTAAAATTGTACCTAGTATCAAGGAAGAAACACCTACAATAGAAGGCAAGGTAAGCCCTATTTAAGGATGTTTCATTGGACAGTGCAGTGACTCTTACACAGCATATAAATATTTTATCAAGACGTGGGCATAGAAAAGATAGACACAAGATAGATTTAAGCAGTAAGATGCAACTTAACTCATCAATAGGGAAGGGCACTATACTGCCACCCCCTCACATGCTAGGAATTCAATTGGACCCAGTTCTGGGTTAGAGGGCTCCCACCATATAACCAGTGACTTTGGATAAACTTTACTAGGCCCACCTCTAAGACTCAGCTCCCTTCTGAATCTTCTCTATCTCCATAACTTTCTCTTCTCCCATATGAATGAAGGAAGTACAGGCAGTCCCCGGGTTACGTACAAGATAGGGACTGTAGGTTTGTTCTTAAGTTGAATCTGTATGTAAGTCGGAACTGGCGTCCAGATTCAGCCGCTGCTGAAACTGATCAGTTTCAACAGTGGCTGAATCTGGACGCCAGTTCTGACTTACATACAGATTCAACTTAAGAACCCCAGGCATCCCCAAGTCAGCTGCTGCTGAAACTGATCAGCGGCTGATTCCAGGAAGCCCGGGGCAGGGGCTTCCTGTAGTCAGCCACTGGTCATTTTCAGCAGCTGCTGACTAGGGGACACCTGGGGCAGAGCAGCTGGGGTGCTGCTGGGTTGGTCCAGTGGCACCCAGAGCGGCAGCTGCAGCCTCCGCCGCTTTGCTTCCTCTCCCTGGTCTGCTCGAGACCAGGGAGAGGAAGTGCCCCATTCGTAACTGCGGATCCGACATAAGTCGGATCCGCGTAACTCGGGGACTGCCTGTACCCCAGTCAATGAAAACTGTCTATCTCCACTTCTCCTTACAGTCATGAAATCCACCAGTGAAATCCCAGGTCTTATTTTCTTCTGTGAGGAGGCCATTTTAGCCTTTATGTTGACTGGACACTGGCTTCAAGTTACACAGATAAAAATATTCCCACATTATATCCTAAAGTAAGCATCCACATAAATATCTTACAGCAGTGGTGGACAAATACTGGCCCAAAGCCAAAATCTGATGTGGCAGGATTAGCCCCTGACAGGCCACACTGCTGCATTTACCTGAGCCTCTGCAGATACAGGCGATTATAGCTCCTGTTCGCCATGGATTGCTATTCCCAGCCAATGGGAGCTGCGGGAAGTAGTGTTCTAGTTTGTGCCACTTCCTGTAGCTCTCATTGGTTGGGAATGGCAATCTGTGGCCAATGGGAGCTGCAAGCACTCATACCTGTGGAGGTGCAGGTAAATATAACATTGGTAGCCTGCTAGGGGTTAACTCTGGTAAACCACCACCATCTAATAGCCCATCCCTGCTTTTGAGCAATACTTTTTTATAACATTACATGATTTAGTTTAGAGCACTTTGTAGTAAATAAAAATAAAACAGTTATAAACCTATGGATTCTTAAATATATTGTTATCTTAAAATGCTCTTTCTTCCAGATGTTTATCAAAGCCCTATTTGACTATGATCCTAATGAGGATAAAGCAATTCCTTGTAAAGAAGCTGGGCTTTCTTTCAGAAAAGGAGATATCCTTCAAATCATGAGCCAAGATGATGCAACCTGGTGGCAGGCCAGACATGAAGGTGATTCCAATCCCAGAGCAGGTTTGATCCCTTCAAAACATTTCCAGGAGAGGTAAGCGACGCTAGTACATAGTTTCATTCTTCTTTGTATACTAATACATTTGTTTGCAAAGGCTTTAGGTCAGCATGATTGCCATACAAGTGATCATGGATTACAATGTAATGATGAACTTTAAAATCTGACATTGTAGTAAAACAACTGAACTTGGAATCTCCTTGTTCAAATAGTTTGGATTTCATTACTTGTCTGGCTAGAATGAATAATGACCAACTGATAGGATAGTGCTGATCCAATTTGGAAGAAAAGCCATATGGAAAAAAGCACTTCAGTATCTGTATCCACATTGATGTACAATTCAGGGAAAATAGCTGCAAGTTTTTGGAGAATTTACAAAAAATTAAGACAGCGGGATTAATTTTATATAACTTGAATAGATTGAATTATTTTGGGTTAACTTAAACAAATCTTTCAGGATATTTTACAATAGTGTCATGATGCTAAGTGTTTATTAATCCCAAACTCTCACTGAAAACTGAGGAGTTTGTCTTTTTCTCTCTCTCTCCTCTTACTTCTCCAATTTTATAGGAGATTTGCATTGAAAAGACCAGAAGTACATATACAGCCGCTGAAAATTTCCAACAGAAAATCATGTAAGTCTGTTAACCTAGAATAGAAATCATGCTCCTTGATCTCTATCTTTATAACATTTGTTTCAGCTCAGTGAAGAGGATGTACTATTCCAGTGTACAATCACTCCTGAATCATATTATCTCAAAAAGAAAAGCAAATATATAGGAGAAAACTAACATTATTATGATTAATTCTTATAGTTGCTGTCAACTTTCTGGCTGATTAAAATATTCAGGGTCCAATCTATATACTCTGAATATGTAATGTCTTTAAAAGTTAGTGGGTGTTTTGCCTATTGAAGCCCAATGGGTTTGTATTTTAAACATTAAAATCTGTGTGCCCCATTCTGTGACACTTCATTACCAGGGTGGAATTAGTATCAAATGAGTAAAAGGTCAGATATCTTTGTCTGTACAGATTATTTTCCTTCTCTTCCCCCTAAATCCTCCAATGGCATTTATGTATCTTTTTAAAATAAGGGGACACAATTTCTTTACAGGTTTCAATCTAAGCCAGTGGTTCCCGAACTGTGGGCCGTGATACCAAATGGGATTTTGTTATCAGCAGATGGGATAGCAGCAATCCCTACCGTGTGGAGGATGCTATTTTGCTCTGCACAGCTAGACTTTGCATATATGGTGCATGTGAGGTCACAATGCGTGGAGGATGCCATTCTGCTCTTCAAAATGGCATCCTCCATGCTGTCTGGGATCCCAGTAGGAAGGACTTCATTAAAATGGGGTCATGCTGGCTAAGTATTTGCAAATCCTTAGTTGTAAGCATTTCTTCTTTTAAAAAAATCATTTTAATTGTCCTGAATTTTCAAATACAGTAGTCATACAATATGAAGAAAAATAAGCATTTTCTATACATAGAAAAAAATATATTCATACTACTGGAATTCACATTAACATCTGTTTTAAGTATTGTTACATTTTTCACTTGACCTGTTATTTCTTTCAGTTGTACAGGCTCATAACAAAGTGAGCACAGTATGAGAAATAATCAGGCTATAATAAACTTTAAATCTTAAATGCAAACATGTTTTTCTGAGTTTAACTAGAAGTATTCAACATCCAATGCCCAGGGGCTCTACTGTTAAAACTACAACAAAATGAAAGAAGTTGGAGGATATAACACCACACAATGGATTCTGTCATGTGTGGTGTCACATTAACAAAACAAAGTTAATTACATCTAAACTTTGGATTTTTTCAGTGTTGAGATTAGAATTTTACTTAACTCACCTCCTTTCAGATTACTTACTGTTATTTAAATAGCTTTCATGTTATAGTAAGCCTTATTATTTATAAAATTTTGACTAAAAATGCCCCAATCACATGCAACAGGGTCCAAAGACTTAAATTATAGTTGTAATTGACATAATTCTGAGTCCAGTCTTTATAATATTTTTAATATGCTGCCATAGAATAACCCATTCTGTGAGGAACACCTCTATCTGGCAACTGATCTGCTGCTCAGATTCCTATTCAAGTGGCTCTGCCTCAGTGTTGCTAAATTTTTAGCTGCTGGTCTCAAGTTGTTCAGTGTTGTTGCTGAATAGGAGGTTCCTTAAACAAGTGTATATTGATTATGGTGGCAATAGAGCTTTCCAGGAAGTGCATTGACCGCTATAGTGAATGTGGGTCTAGTTTGGTTCTCTCTATGACATGCTCCTGCCTGGAGATTTTTATGAGAGAGAGGGTATGCAGATCCCCTTAGGGTAGGCAGACCATGCTAAATGGGAAATGCTAACGCTGTGACTTAGAGATGTAACTGCCTGGTGCCTGCCGGACTCACCAGTCACAGCAATGGGAAGCAGGGCAGGGATCTGCTGCTCAAGAGCCAGCACGCACAGAGGCTACACTGACAGACCAGCAGGAAGAGCAGCTGGTCCTGCCCACCACATCTTCACCCTGCCCCCAGCCTTGAACACGCATCCCTGTCTTTGCCTACTGGTAGGAGTGGGTGGTTGGCGAGCAGGGATCTGACCAACAGCAGTACTCACCTGTACTGAGGGGGGCAGAGAGACAGAAAATACAGGACTGTTTTTAATCAAAAGTTGAGACTTTTGTAGGAGGACTTAATATGGGACTGTCCATTTAAAAACAGGATGTCTGGTCACCCCACAAATTACATTGGTAGAAGCAGAAATATCTCATTCATGTCTTTAGAAGAGTGGACAAAACTGCATGCTAAGTACAATTGATTATGTTTATTAGCAATCTCGTGGTTGCTGGCTAAAAATTGCCATTATCTAGCAGGTGCTAATAAGCGGCAGATATCATTTCTGAGGCTGCCACCGGGGAAGAAATTGCTGTCTGTGCCCTCTCTGGCTACAGACCTGCAAACCTGCCTGTGGTCAGGGAAGCGGGGGGAGGGGGAGACACTGCAGCCCAGATGCTGGGGCTTTTCTACAGAAGTCAGGGCACTGGGAGCCAATGGGGCTGTGCCATACCACTCCCTGAATTCTCTGCAGGTTGGAGCACAGCACATCCTAGTGCTTCCTTCTGTATGTGCAGCCTCTTCAGGGCACAACCATGACAGTTCAGGGAAGAGATAACTGTGCAGCTCTGGCACCTATGCTGCAAACCCCCTCCCTGCCGCTGTCCTGACACAGCCTCCTTTCTTACTCCACAGCTCCTTAACTTCTGTGCAGTCCTTGTGCACAGGCAAGTTTGTGGTCTCCAAATGCAAAATGAAGCACTGAACAATGACCACAGGTAGTTTTGTGGGACTGCAGGTGGGGAACGCCTGACTCTGCACTTCTTTACCTGGCTGCAGTCTTGCATACAGCTGGGATCTTTCTTCCAAAAAAAAATGTTGTTAATAAGAAGCATGCCAGGCCCAATATTACAGACCCATTAACATTAAAATTAGTGGGATGGGATAAGTTCCTGGCAAATGTTGCTGTTAACTTGGCATTTGTTAATATCTGAGTTGCTGTTAAACAGTGTTTATTGTACTTTAGAAAACTGGAGAAAAATAATAGGGCCCTTTGGAAAATGTGAGGGGTAGGTAGTGCTGTAGCACCTGTGTATAAGCAATGTGATGGAAGAATTGATAACAGATGGAAAAGGCATTTAGTGAAGATAAGATTGGTGAGTTGAAAAGAGAAATTAGGGATGGAGAAGCAGGGAGAAAAAGTATGCAAATGATAGTGAAATAGAGCGTAAAGAGGAGAAGGCTGGAACACAGGAGAATGAGATGGGAAAAACAGAAACTACTAATGGCCAAAGGAGAACACAATACATGGGTTGGAAAATAGAGCAGGAGCAATAAGTAGTACCAGTATCATTGCTAAGGCTGTGTTAGAGTTCAGTGTTAACAGAATCTCTAACCTTTCTTTTGTAAACATTTCATTGGAATGGCAAAAAACAAAACAGAATATTAACATGGTGCATATTTGGATTTTTCAGAATGGTTCAAGAAAATGCACAAACCTAAACAATGACATCAGTGTGTGGCAGTCAGCTTTGCTGCTCTGTTGATGTGATTGATGTGAAAGCTTACAGAAGTCACTCTAAGGTTTTGTGTGCAAATTTGATGATGTGAGGACTGAGTATCTGTTGGAAATGGGCCTTTAAACTTGGGTTGTTGGATATCGTTATTGATGGAGTGGTATATATATGAAGGTGGAGGAATGCACTCTTATTTTCATTCTTTTAAGAGTCTAGATTGTATCTTGTCCCAACCGTAACTGCATCTCAATGTAACTTTTGTTGCTAATTAATACTGCAAAAAAGACTGATGAGAAAGCACTGAAAAAAATAATGAAAACATAGGTCAACATTACAACAGAAATGCAGAAAAATCCACTGAAGGAAAAGAAAGGTAATGGACACATGGGGCAGAATAATTTGATCATATTTTATTAATGGATAGGAAAAAAGGAATTCTATGGTACTCATAAATAAAGTTTTATTATTTCTGCAAATACACTCGATTCTGGGAAATTATTAAGTTGAATTTGAGGACTGCTCAGAACCTACATGCATTCTCTGCTTTGCTTCTCCAACCTCTGTTGTTTCTTCTTCTTTATTTTCTGCTCCCATCTACTCATCAGCCTTATCCTACAGCACAATCAACCTGAGATTCATCAGATTCTTCTAATTTCATTTGTTTTAATGGTCCCAAATCTTAAATCTGCATCTCATGTACAGGGCCTTGAATGTGAAGACAAAAAGCTTAAATTGGATATGGAAAATGAGGAGAATTCTTATAAGCATTTTGCTGGTTTTTCTATGAAGTTCAGTTATTGTATGGCCGCTTAAGGGTGTGCACATTTGAAGGTACAACAAGTGTAGTATTTACAAGAACCATACTGATTCCTCAGTCTAGGAAATCATCCATTTAAGATGCAGTGCCTCAGACCACAGGATATTTGGCATATGTGGATCTAAAGAAACATGTAAAACAAAAATCTATTACTGGTGAAAGGAGAAGAGCGAAATAAGTCAGACAGAAGGCTGTCCAAGGGTGAGAGGATCCATCTTCAGAGGTAGCAGTTGGACTGTTGCACTTAAAAATATATCAGGAGCTGTACATATATGTGCAGTATATCTTTTTGGAATTGTGCACTCTAAAGCTGATTGATAACTTTGCTAAATGTTTGAAATGAGTTTTGAATTAACAAAGTGGGTTCTGAATTTTTAAATTTAAGATGGAGTTAATTGAATAAAAAGATAGTGAAAAATGCTTTACTTGGAGAAAATTAAGTGTGTGTTGAGTGCATAATGGGAGGGGCCATCTTTCCAAATGTCACATGGCTGAACAGTATTGTCTTGAAGGTATTTAAAAAGTTAATATTTAGTCTGAGATGAAGTATAACAAGTTTCTGTCCAAATGGAAATTTTTTTAGAAAACTTGGTCACTGCCAACAAATGCTGTAATGTTTCTGCCTGTACCTTGTTTTATAGTTCATACTGTAGATAAAGCAATTATCACCTAATCTTGTAGAAATGAATGATCACGAATTTATTTAGTTTCTGTGCCCAACTTTACCGTCTAAGACATAACC